CATCACCATTTAATCATTCAAATTAATACTTTCAAATAGTTACTAATAACAGTTTCAGATTTACACTAGAATGTGCTAGAATACTAGCAGGAATATTACATGTAGATATGACGTTTTGTGTAATTGTAAAATCTTCAGACTGATGCAGTTGGCAACTTCTACAAGTGTAACATAGAATGCAATAGTAGAGTAAACATTCAGGTCAAACAGAGTCCGGGTGCTGCTATTGTGCAAATGTAACGGAGCATTCATCATTGGTATCACTATTTCATGTCAAAAAGGAAAAAGGTCTATCTAAATCATACTCCATCATACGCCATTGTCTTAAAACACAGACAGCATGTTGTTAATTCTGGGTTTCTTTCCATGGTATGTTGATTTTGACCACAAGCTGTTATTTCTTCCTAGAAGCTGTAAGAAACAGACTTCTTTGTTGGAAACATTAACAACTAGAGTAATGTGAAGGGCAACATGGTTTCATTAAAAGCTTTTTAAATCACTACTCTCCTGAGTGCCTCAGATTTCTTTCCTGAGATGGTTTCATTTGAGTTTTTCTTTAAAGATTTTATTTAAATACAGCATGAGTTCACTTAAAGCTGCTTAATTTGAACACTAGTGTGATGTCAATGGACTGCGGGACTAATGGACTGAACCAACCACAAGTGTGTCTGAGAGACTCTGGGTTTTAGAGACACTGCAGTTGTGGTTGGAGCACCTTGTTGCGGCAGCTCTGCAATCTTTGTTAGGGAGTGTGTCGTTGGCAGCTGCTTAGAGCTGCTGGTGATGAAGACAGCCAGGTTAGGAGTTGGGCTTAGTTGGGCTACACTGTTTACCTCTATCTAGGTTTGATGGTGACCACGCTGACCTGACCTGCTGAAGCTCACACAACCTGTGGTGCCCAAACAGATGCATGCTGCTGCTGCCAGCCCCATCTGTCTAAAGTGAGTTTACCTTTGATAAATACAGTGCAATAGTTTTGACAATTCGGGCGATCCATTCACACATCAATATATTTTTTGAAATGTTGTATTTTTACAGTACTTTCACACAGAATGTCATCGAGGTTGATTTTCGGAGCTTTCGCACCACGGATAAAGGCATCAAGTAGTCAAACTGTGCAGAACAGACGCCACGTCACAACTCATAGTCTCACTACCCTGTCCTATATGACAAAGGACACCAAAATTATAAAGACAATTTGACTTGGGATGGTGTCTCTGCACAGACTGCTCTGGGGATTTACTGATGAGGAACTGAAGTGGTTACATTCATCTATGTTCTCTTCAAAGCCCACAAAAACTAATTTGGAGTTGCTGTTATTAAAAGATAATTTTGAGGCTGTAAGCTCGATCCTCAAGGTGCTACAGTGCCTTTTGATGACTGATGTCCAAATGACAGACACGACTAAAGGCCTCAATATACTCCCAAACATATGCTCACACAGACAGCTGCAGACACCACAGTATGTCATTAGTAGCTGTATGGACAGTCCGCAAGGTTAAACCAAAATATATCTGTGATGGGACACAGATATCCACGAATGACGGAACCAAATTACGTGTCAACACATCTTGTAGTAGTTGAAATTATTCAGTCTGGACCAAAGTGGTGGACTGACTGACAGTTTGCCACACCTGGAGCCATGCCTCTAGCAACCCCAGTGAGACATGGTGGAGCCTGTACCCGTGTATGTGTGTGTGTGTGTGTATGTGTGAGTGTGTGTGAGCATAAAGGCAGTAAAGAGACTCAGTCAGAGGTTGAGTAACCACTAGAAGTGTCATGTCCACTCAGAAGTGTGAGTGTAAATACTCA